AGCCAGACCCCAGCCATCACAGGCTGAGCCGTGCATAGCGGCGGAAGATTCTCAACACCGCAAACCTTCGAACCTAGAAAAGGAACATCAGAGCAACATGCACCGAATTGAGCGGACACCAGGTCTCTTCGCGACGATTAGAAGTACCTTGCACAACCATGCACTGAATTAAGCGGACAATGAAGTCTCTCTCGTAAGGGTTTAGGGTTTAGGGTTTAGGGGGGGGGGCAGGTCCGACCATGAAGGAGCCCGAATCATAGGCGCTCGAAGACTCACTCTTCGATACGGGCAGGAGTTAGAATTATGGGTCACTCATTCAGGCTTCAACAGTCTGGATCGCCGGGTTGAGGGTTTTTGGCAGTTGGGATACAACTTGCAGGATGGGAGGTTCTGGGCTGAAGGTGTGGGAGGATGCTCCTTTCAAAACAAGCGGAAACGGATCACAAGCAACCTCTGTCGCTGGACCCTACCTGGGCTTCCTACGAGACTCGGCTTAAGGGTTAAGGGCTTAGGGTGCAGGATTCAGATTTCAGGATCCAGGGTTTTGGGGGTCGAGGATTTGAGGTCTAGAGTTCGGAGTCCAGGGGTTGGGGCTTAGGGCTTAAGGTTCAGGATCTAAGACTTGCGATTCACAGGTTGGGGTCCAGGGTTCGTGGTAGCAGGGCTTGAGGTTACGGGTTGGGTTTTCAGGGCTTTGGGGCCAGTAGTTAAGGCTTAGGTCTCAGGATTTCGGATCCAGGGCTTCAAGGCTTTCTGTGTCGGTATTCTGGGTTCGACAAGAGAGCACGACCGAAGGATCCCAAAAAACTCTAGGCCGGTGAAGCTCCGAGCAGCGAAGACCCTGAGATTTCAACAGACGTCGAACCGCACCCCTTCTTCCAGCCGGGCGACTGCGTGGCCGTGGTTCCAGTCTTGTGGATGCCTGCCTTTGGACAAGATCCGTCTGTGTCGCAAGGGCTCAGGCTCAGGGACTCGGGAAGCTTTGGGGCTTGGGATTGAGGGTGTGAGGCTTCGTCGCATTTAAGGTTTCGGTGTGCTCCTGCTCCATTGCTTGGATGGTTTCTTCTGCACCGACCCTGGGCCAAAGGGCTGACTCGCCCCCAACACTGCAAACCTACAGTCCTAAACTCTCAGAACCCACCCTCCTCAAATCAAGAACTCCCCCCCGGAGTCTCTTACCCTGCAACCCACAAACCCTGACAGCACAGCCGGACAAGGGAAGCTCGAGCGGTCCGGGACCCCGGCGTGGATGACGAGAAGCGGGGCGGCCTCGATCTGGGCCTCGACTTTCCGGGTTTAGGGCTTAGGGCTCAGGACCTTCAGGGTCCAGGCTGGCAAACCCGGTCAGCATACATCTTTAAACAGTGAGTGAGCAGCACGACGGCCATGACGACCAAAACAACCACGACCACCGGGACCACCACCACCAAGACGACCAGAACAACCACCACGAGGAGACTGCGGAGCGCTGCAAGGAGACAAAGCATCCGATACCTCGTGACTTGCAACGTGAGAACCCAAGATGTCGCCACACTGTTTATGGAATATTGACCCTGAGCCAGGAAAAACGAAAAGCGCGCAAGGAAGAGGCCCTCCAAAACTCCTCGTCGAACGCGCCAACAGAGTACTAGTGCCTTCCCAATGCCCAAAACCTCTACTCGCCTGAGGAAGGGCACGCACACACGACACCACAAAAAAGTAAGTACGAGTACCCCCAAAGTGCCTCCGAAAGAAAAGGAGGCCAAAAGGTACCACCAGAAGCAAATGCAGCACAAAGCAGCACAGAAACCCGAGGCAACGCCTTTTGCCGCGGCGCCTCGGTGGCCTGGGAGCCCTCGGACTTCGCCTCGTCTTGACCTCGCGAAGCAAGGCCAAGCCCCCTCACCGGGGACCGTTTTTTTTTTTTCTTTCTGCCGGGGTTTTGTTCCTTTTTAAGGGTTCCTCACGGTTCCTCACCGTACGCATTCGGGTTTGGGTTTGGGGTTGGTAGGACTTGTGTTGGGAGGATTCGTGGATTTCCGCAGCACTCGGCCCCTGCCTGACAATGGTCCTACGAGGCGTTGCCTGCAAAAAACTCATGGCTGTGGTCTGGACTGTCTGCAACGGGAAGAAAAGACTGCCAGAGAGCTGAGTGGCTGTTCTCATCCCGCAAAGCGCCAAGCACCCCGAACCCTAACCAATGAGCTTTGAATCAGGATCAAAACCCTGAACCATCCCCCAGACCTAACATCTCTAAGTGCTGAACTCAAAACTAATTCTATACCCAAGAATCCCGAAGTCCAGGATCCTAATCCGTCAACCCTCAACCTTAAATTAACAAACCGAAGCCCAACCGCTGGGGCCCAAGGCCCTCCAAGGAGACGCGCTGCAGCAGCGACGACTCCTCACCTTACAGAGGATTCGGAGGCTTGCAGGGGTTTGCATGGCTGAGAAGCTTGCTATACAAGTTGTAATGAAGCTTGCAGGGTTGCAGAAGCGCTCGTTAAGGGTTCCACAAGGG